CCACCCCCTCCGCCTGCGCCGCCGGGGAAGCCCGGCAGCGGCTCCATCCAGGAGCGCATGTAGCGGCCAGGCTCAGAGGCGGCGGCGGCCAGGGGCGGCGGGGGCACATACGGGTGGTAAAGGCCGCTCATCGCCGCCGCCGGTGGCTGGGCCGGCACCGTGGACCAAGAGGCGGAGAACACGGCAGATTTGGGGGCAAAACTACACGAGGCAAACTCAGCGGCTGCGGCGGCTGGGCTGTCGGCCACACCTGCGGGCCTGCCCTGCGCGCCGGGCCCCGGCGGGCCGAAGCGCGCCGCGAACACCTCATCGCCTTCATGGCCTATGAGCGAGTCCACGAAGTAGTTGCTGAGGGTGCCACTGGAGGACATTTTGAGGCGCCGTGCGCTCCCACCCAAGGTTACACTGCCCGCCGCCGCGCCGCTCCCCGCCGGCGCCCGAGCCGCCGACTAGTTCGCAGGCTGCAGCCTCCACCATTGGTCGCGCGGCCCACGTGATCATATTTACCAATACCGGGAGTAAATCAGTCCGCTAAACTGGGGGCTGCTGTGATTTAAAAAAAAAAAAAAATCATCAACATAAGCGCTGCAATTAGAGCCCGTGGGCCCCGGCCGGTGGGCCCCGCTCGGCCCGGCCCGGCCTGGCCAGCCTGGCCAGTCCTGGCAGCCGGGACCACCCGTCCGACTGCGGCCCGAGGAGGCGCCGGGGACTATTTGTTCGCGTCCACTTGCCGCCCTCGGTCTTTCCGTCGGGATCGCGGCGCTGCCTCCCCAACGCCGGGGCTCCGGGTCGCGCGTGTTGGGTGCGAGGAGCCCTGGCCCAGGGCCTGGAGCAAGCAGGGCGAACAGGGCCGATTGGGGCCCGAGGCAGGCCGGCTTTCAGAGGCGGCCCCCTGGCGCCCAAGGGGAGTTCTTCGCTCGGTGCCTCTCTCCCTACCCAAAGCACCCCTCCCCTCCCTACATACCCACACACACGCTCTCTCACAGCTTGTCGTGTTGTTTAAAACAGGTGGAAGACCTCTGTAATGATATTATGCCTTTCAATAAAAATTTTATGAGGTGTATTTGATTATAGATTAATGTGTCCCTAATAAAACGGACGGATGGAGCAGCTCGGAGGGCCCCCTCCCCCTACCGCACTCACACACGCCGGAGCAGCCACACACACCCCCGACGTGAGGCTGAGCACACGCCACGGCCCGAGGGGTTAGCCGAGGTGGCCAGGCCCAAGGGCTGGGCGCGGTGGCGGCCACGGCCGGCAGCGGCTTCTGTCTGGCCTTGGAAGGACCGGCTGGTTAGCGAGTCCGCACCGGGTAGATAGTGGCGGCCAGAGTGTCTCGTCTTCTCCTGGGCTGCTGGAAAGGCCCTGAAAGAGAACACGCCATAGGGCAGAACCCTAGTGCTGGCGAAGACCCACTCCCACCCGCCAGCCCGACCTTGCCTCAAAAAGACCAGGGAAACTGCATCTCCCCGAAGCAGGGTCGCTTGGCATGATTTCCACTTAGAGGCCTCCAAGTGGATTCCCGAGATGTCTTTAAAATGGCCTGGTCCTTAGGCTACTGTCTTCCGAATCCGCCCCCCACCCCCCTTTTTTGCCTCCAGAGTTAAGGTTGGGCAGCCTTGAATCTGAGGGAAATGCCCATTGTCACTCCCAAATCCATGGTACAAAGCCTCAGAAGCCCGGCTGGGAGCCGAGACAAAAGCAGCTGGGCGCTAGTGGCAAGGATATGCTCCTCTCTACAAGTTGCCCTGTGCGCCCTTGGAGGGCTACCAGCCCACCTCGCGCCCCGGAAAGGAAGGGGGGAAATGGCTACTTATGGCCTGATTGATTGCTTTTGCCAGTGGCTTTCTGATTTTATTCTAGAGGGGCTGCCTTTGCCCGTAGCACGGATTTTCCTCGGAGATTTGGCCCCCTGTCAACAACTAATGGTGCTCCTCACATCGCAGGGGATGGGTGAAGTTAAAATTGCCTTCCTCCTGCCTAACCAAGGGAGATTTGGAGCAAATCTATTCCAGTGTTCCCAACCTGGGTAGATTCCAGCTGTTTCTTTACCTATAGGAGATGGCCCCTTAAAAGATGTCTCTTGGAATTATGGAAGGTTTTTTTTCCTGTTTCTTTTAGGAGGGAGTTAAAACTCCAAGTAAAAGCTGTCTCCCCAAGGCTTTCTGGATGAGGGCCCTAAGCTTAGTGCTGATAAGTAGATTGTTTGTAGGGGGCAAATGAAAATGACATATTTTGTGAAGCTTCTTGAAGCTGTCGGGAACCCTTTGAAACCACAGCACTATCTAGGGTAACGAATTCTCTGTTAGCTCTTTTCCCTAATCCCCCAAGTTCTCTCCTCATTTCTTCCTGGCAGGACTAAATCAATCTGGGCTCTCTTAGGCTGATGATCCTGCAATATCTCTAAATCTATCTATCTATCTATCTATCTATCTATCTATCTATCTATCTATCTATCTATCTATCTATCTATCTATCCATCCATCCATCCATCCACCCATCCATCCATGCACACTAGTGCAAGCAGTCTGGAGGTTTCTGAGCCCTGATGGTGGAATTTGGAGCACTGGCCTTCATGGGAAGTCATGTTCATTTGCAAATTCTTTCAGTCACCCTTTGTACATTTCCCTGTCTTCCACATACAATGACTCTGATTAGCATTTTGGAATTAAATAGAGGGAGGATTAACTGGAGGAAGTTTTTTCTTCTTTTAACAAATTTTCACGAGGGCCACGAAAAGGTAATGACAGCATAAAATTCTCCCACAAGGAAACCAAAGTGGGATGGGAAAACTCACCCATTCTGGGTTTTGCTGTAGCCTGTCTGTCTTATGCTTGGGATGGGGATGGGGATGAAGAAAAGGGGGGCAGAAATGGATGCGATGCAATACTAAGCTGCTGCTCGTCCTTGTTCCTTTAATGGAGGCCCACTGGCTTCCAGGTGGGCAAGACTGGTTTCAACCCAGCCCCCTGATGATGGTAAGCCAGCCGGAATTCACCAAGACCCCCACTGAAAGCATTAAAAATAACACAACCAACACCAAAGAGAGGAAGATACACAGTGGAAACAGGTTTACTTAAAAGGCTCCAACTGGAGGCAGGCTCCCACCCATTGCCAGTGCAATTGTGTTATTATCATTGAAGGGAGGTGGAGAGGACTCCCCGCATCCCCAACTATGAAACAACACACCCAGGCTGGATTATCACTTCCTCCACTAGTGACAAATGCTAGCAGAACTAGCAATTTAGGTCTTCTCCAGTTTCTCTCACTCATCTCCCTTGTCCCTGCTTCTACCCTTAATAACTGCCCGGAGCAAGCAGTTTAACAGAAAGATAACCTGGCCAAAGACCTTCATTTGCACTGTGACATATTTCCATTTCAGAAAGCAGAGGGAACAAACTCGTTTCCAGAGTTTATTGCATTATACATGCGACCAGAACATGCACAGAAAGGACAGGTTGCTGTTGTTTTTCTACCAAACCACAGATGCACCACAAGGGAAAGGCTACAAGGCATAAGTCTTCAATATTCCATCTCACCAAGGACAATTGCTAAATTCATTTGCGAAAAAGATACATTGTAATGTGCTTTTTTATTCCCCCCCCCAAAGCTTGTGGGTTTTCTTAAATTTTTTTAAATATATATGTAATTTAAGTACTTTTAAGTACTAGATGTATTCAAAACGCCATGAACTCATGGACTAACCACACACACAGACCTTTTGTGTTAGGAAAAATATGAGAAAGTCACATTGCTGGATGGATGAATGGATTGATGGATGCTCTACAGTTCCAATAAGTTAAGACCCAAATGAAAATGCGCAGTAATAGTTACCCTGCATTATGATGAAAAAAATAATAAATTACACGTGCTAGTGTTTTAATATATATATATATAGAGAGAGAGAGAGAGAGTCAGAGGGATTACAGATCACTTGCAGCACGAACAAAATGACCCCCAAAGTCACATTCTAGCAGGAAAACAAAACAAAAAACAAAGAGCAATGAAGGTTTTGTTTCCGCCTTCCCAGTCCTCCAGCACTGGGCCCTGGAACGCGGTGCCCCCTCTCTGATCCTGGCCTCTAACGGGCCTCGGGACCTAAGAGAAGGTGAGGTTGGCGGTCAGTTCTCGGATCCGGTTCTCTCGGCTCATCTTCTTAAGTTTCATTCGGCGGTTTTGAAACCAAATCTTGACCTGCCTGTCGGTGAGGTTAACGCTCTTACTGATCTCTAGGCGGCGCTCTCGGGTGAGGTACATATTGAACAAGAACTCTTTTTCTAATTCCAGCGTTTGGTGCTTAGTGTAAGGGCACCTCTTCTTTCTGCCACTCTTTGCTGTGAGCCAATTGCTGGTTGGAGTATCAGACTTGATTTCCTCTAACAAAATTAAAAGGAGAAGAAGAAAGAATATCAAGAATTTTTTTCTCTCTCAGTCTGTTCAAATGTACCCTTGGCCATGACCCTGCTGGCAGCCAGGCCACTTTGGAAAAGGCTGGTATTAAACATTATTCACATGAGGTGGCACCTGGAAGGTGCATTTTGTAATAGATTCCAGATTACTTTAAATGCCCCAAAATGACAGGATGAGTGGGTACTCTTCCCCCCCATGTCAGAACTCTCTCACTCTTTTTCTGTCAACTTTCTGACCTGCACAAAACATTAGTGTAATAGTAAACTTTCAGGATCTCTCAAGCAACATTCTAAATGTTCACCTCATAACACAACTGGAACGGAAGAGCAAGGCACAGCCTGGACAAGCTCACCAACGTCACTGCTGCCTCAGGTTCTCAAGTCTGCCACTTCTCCTTGGCAGGCGGGTGTCCCACAGTCAGGTTAGTAAGTGCCTATTCTACTCCAGAAGATAACCAAGGAACCAAGTACACCCTCTCTGCCTTACCTGGGCATGGTTGTATTCCCGGAATCTCCTGACTTCTCATGCATTCTTGTCCCTACCCAAAAGCACTCCCCCAGAAATGTAGCTCCTACTGTAGCTCACCACTGCTAACAGGGGAGAGGCTTAGAAGCAAGGTTCCTCTTCAAAAGCCAAAGCTCTTGCATCTTTGCCCTACCCCAGCCCTAAGGCTGGACCTGCCGGTTGGGCCAGAACGGTTCTATTCTGCTCCCTCTGTCTTTGCCCCCTTTGTAAACAGATTGCAAAGCCTGCGGCACTTTCTACAGACAAAGCCAAGGTTACCTAGCCCTGCGAAGGCAGGGAGCCCTGTTCCCCAGACCAAGCTCCAACAGACCCAGCCTTCCATTCCCCTTTCTGCCCCCAAGCTCGTAGGACGCGGGGTGCATACACTGGAACAGGAACACAGTGTCTGGAACCACCTTAAAATCACCACTGGGCAAAAGGCAAAGCGGAAAGTGCAACTCTGAGCTGGGGGGGAAAGGGAGATTCTGGGGCTCTGTTTAAGAGCCGCAGGTCTCATTGGCACTCTTTTGTTGCATTTCAGGTCTAGCTCAGGAAAAATAAACCCATCAAGCCCTTCCTCTGCCCGGCGCCATCAGCGTGGCGCCAGGACTAGCCAGGGCCAGGAGGGCCAGGGCAGTTGGAGAGAAGCGGGGACCTTCTCGGCACTGAGATCGCCCCTCTAAAAGCCAGGAGAAACAGCACCTGCCAGTCGGGCCCCTCCTGGGCTTGGCGCTGGGCACACAGGAGCTCCCTCTCTGCTGGGTTCCCAGGCTGCACGCCCCCGCTGGGGTGGCAACTCTGCTCATACCGACCTTTGCTTTCCTTCTCCTGTACTTCTGGACTGGACACGGAGACCTCAGCCAGGCAGCTCCTCTCTTCCGGAAGGCCGCCCTTGGCCTCGGGGCTCTCCACCTGGGAGACTTTGGTGGGCTCCTGGCCGCTGGCAGTGTCGTTCATCTTCTTTTCCATCTGTAGCTGGGCGGTCGAGAGCTGCGGCTTGGCCGCGCCGCGAGGGTTGAGCTGGAGCATGACTGTGGAGCTGCCTTCGGGACTGTTATTGTACTCTTGGGTTTTCCCGGTGGCGTAGGTCTGACTCAGTCTAAAATATCCAGGGACAGGAACCTCAGGGTTTTCAACGGGACAGGACTCAGGGACCAGCCTCTGGTACGAAGGGACCTCGGCAGAAATGAGTTTGTTGCGCTTATCAGAATACATGCAGCAATTGGATTCTTCCTTAATGTTGGTGGTGAAGGAGCAAGTGGGCACTTGCTGTGTAACAGGTTGCTCTATTCGACAAGATCTGTTCGGGTCTGTCCAACTGTCTACTTGAGGTATATACGGATGCACATTCATACCCATATTTTGGTGGTTCACTTCTCTTTTGGCCAGAGACGGGAGCAGTCCACAGGTTTGCATTCCATAGGTCCCCATGTCTGCGCTAGGTGGTGGCATGTACATGCTGGCGCTGCTCGAATAAAAACTGTCACTCCTGCAGGCACTGATCAAGGAATCTACTAAAAAAGTATTAGCAGCAGGAGAGCTGTTGGGAAAGGACATTTTGGGGAGGAATTTGAAGAAGAGAGATTGTGTCCTTTGTAGGCTGACATCTCTAGGAAAACATTCCCCGTGTAATTGTGGATGCCTCTGCCGACCACATGACAACCAAGCCAATGAGATTTGAAAATGGCCTTGAGCCGCTGCCTCCTCGCAGGTCACGTGCTCCAGAGCCCGGCCAGCCGGCCGCGTAAGCACGGACAACAGCGACATCTACTACGCGCCCGCGATAGTGCGAGCTGGAGAGAGCCGGGCCAGCACTCTGCCGCTCGCCGGCCTCCCGGGTCTCTCTTGGCCGGCCTGCCCCACTCACGTCCACTGCCCCGGCCTCCTGGCCATGCAGGCGGAAGGAAAATCTCGGTCAGATGGGCCTCCAGGAGGACACGCGCGGGGAGGGAAGCCGGAGTGCCGCGGCGCCAGCACACAGAAGCATTCCCCGCACATACCCAGGCAGAACGCGCCCGAGAAAACCGGGGCCCGGGCGGGGGTTGGGGGCCCAAGCTGGTTCATTTTGTACCGAGCAGCCTGGGAAGGTGAGTCAGATTCCCCGAGCTCCGAGACACCCCTTTCTAGGGATCCCAAGGAAACGACTCTCGCGCAAGGAACCGGCCAAGGTATCTCGGGGAGCGGAGGCGAGAAGGACCGCCAGGGCGGAGAGGACACGCAGCTAGCCGAGCTCACAGCCCCAAGGACCGGCCCGCCTAGGCGCTGCCCTCGCCCTCGGCGCTCCTGCCCCAGCCCCAGGCCGCTCCATGCCCTAGTGGGCCAGTGGAACCTGGGCTCTTCGGGGAGCCACAACCCAATCTCTGGCGCCCGGCCGCTGGGGACTTTCAGTCCTGAGACAATCCCTCCCCAGCAGTTCGCTATCCACAAAAGCGTCCATCGGTGTCCCCAGAGGGAGAACTAAGCCAAGGCTTCCCTCCTCACACACCCTGAAAATAGAGGGCAAGGGGAAAGGAAGGAAGAGAGAAAGAAAATCATTTTTTTTTTCTCAAGGAAAGGAGAAAACACTTGCCCTCAAACTCCAGAAGTTTTAGAAAACTGCCTGGGCCAAGCAGGAAAGCGTGAGAGAGAGGTGTCATTTATTCTTCTACAAAGAAAAATATGTTTTCCTTTTATGGATTTTGTAAAAGCATTGGTTTCTGACAAGTGCAAGGTACAAAAGGTTGTGGAATTTATTAATACATATTAAGAAGAATCAGGGCGATCAATAAAATTCTCATCTACATTCTTGGGCTACTTGGTAATTTTCTTGCTTCTGAAGGTTTTTAAAGAGTTATACCCGCTGTTGCCACACACGGGAAGATATTTTATTAACAAATCAATCGAGACTTTGTAAAGGATAAGATTAATAGTTAAGATTTAGCATAATGGTGTTCGCTTTATGAATTATTGAAAATTATACTATTGATTTTTCCCCTTCACTACTAACCGAGAAGGTCAATTTTTGTTTTAACACAAATCGTCAAATAGAAAAAGCTATACTTTTGTCACAAGTTGAGTTTTATAGTTTTGGACAATTCCTAAAATTATCTGGAAAGGTTTTGCTTGGGTAAATGGAGAGAGAAAAAAAGAAGAAGGAATCTCCATCCTGTTTCCTCTGGTGAGGGAAAGTTGTGGGGAGGAGTGGGTCTGGGTTGTGGTGGAGCTCATTAAAGAACAACCACCACCACCACCATGGAAACTCAGACTTTTATGAGAAACTTCTCCAACAACTTCCTCCCTTGTTCTCTGGTTGCAGGCTGGTGAACAGCCCTTCAGAAGCCCTGGCCTCGGGCAGCAGCAGGGAGCTTTAACCTTGATTTCCAAAGGCTTACCCAGGGCGAGGGGCCCAGCCAGGGTGCTGGAGCCGTCGCCGGCTTCCCGGATCCCCTTCCCTGCATTCAAGGGAAGAAAACTCTGATCGCGAGCCAGTTCTCTGTCCAGGAAGGCAGCCGTGTTTTCTTCTCCCCACGCTCTCCCTGTCATGGGCTGGCCTTGGATTTCTGGCCCAGAGACTGAACTTGTGGGCAAATTGGGTTTCCACCTCAGCAGAACATTTCTTTAGAGTTCGATGCTCATGAATGTGCCCCAGCCTTTTGGAGGACCCAGTAGCGTGGGTGTCTTCACAAAAACCTTTTCCAACAAAACCTTTGTCCCTCCCCCCTCCCCAAAAGGAATCTCCCTGGTTTGGTGGAAACAGACACTGAACATTATTTTCAGCCTTGGGACTGCTTACCCTTTCCCTTCGCATTGCCTTGGCCCAAACAATAACCCCTTTTAAAAAACTCCACAGTGGCAATGAGACAGACCTTTCAAACCTTTACGCAGCTGTTCAAATACAACATCATTGTCAGGTTAAAAGCCTGGCGCCTCTAACTACTTCGGCTGCGGCTGCGGGATGCCGACCGCTGTAGCTGGAGGTTTAAACATTACCTTTCGGAAGGGGCGGCTGTTTCTAAGATTGAGGGTAGGGAGGGGTGAGGAAGATAGGAAATAAACAACATTTAGCTCCGGTCGGCTAAGGTCCCACCCAAAGCTAATAGTCATCGACAGCACCCCCAAAATTGCTTTCTCAACAAGGCAGAGGAGATCATGATCCCAGACACGGTTAAGCGTGCCCAGGGCTGGACAAAGTGCCCGCTTCTGCACGCTCACGGCAGGCGCCCAGAGCCAGCCTGGTGCTCTTGCCTTTGCGACTGGGCCAGGAGAGCTACCGGGACCTTGCTGTCCAATTCACCGCATCCCACTCTCCAGGCAAAGCGCTTCAATCTAATCGGGAATTTTATGCCCATCAAATGCCCTTTTATAATCTTTATTTATATATGAAGAAAACACCGAGACTCAAAACAAGTGACTCCTCCTTGCAAAGCAGCTAGGTCTGCCGTGAGCCAAGACTGACCAGCTCTGCCTTCCAAATTTGGGGGTCTTTCTGTTTAGCTCCTGGTGGCTTCCAGCTCAATGTCACCCTACACTGAATTTGGTTTTAAATAGGTTCGCTTCACTAACAGAAAAAAAAAATGTGTATCCGCTCTAATTTTTGAGTCTACTATAACAAAATTCTATGTTTTCTTTTTTTTACACCTCTCCTCTGCCTTCAGATTAGCTGCCTTCAAATATTGGCGGGGACTGCCAATATCTCAGATATTTTATCAAATAAATCAATCACAATAGAATGAACACAAGAGAGTGAATGGGGACGGGATGGATTGAAAGTTTGGTTAAGACCCTAAGGCTGATATGAAGCAAATGTGATGAAAAAGACAGTGACTTTGAAGGCCAGCTTTTATTTTGCTTATGAGTATTTAATGTAGCTGCATAGTTGCTGGCTTCGATCATCTTTAGATCAGCTGGAGCAGTTACCATTAATAATAAATCAATATTGCTCCATAAAGGAGATAAATACCCATATTTGTACCAAGACATCCCTCTCCCTGACATAGCTCTTTCCAGAGAAAAATTCAAAGAGTTGTTTTAGATCAAGAAGTGGTTACATCTGTTTTCTTCCATCTCTAAGTGACCCCGAAACTGAGTAGACCTAGGGGAGCCTAAGTTTGCCCTGAATTAGGACCCTGAGTGACCTCAGGACTGTGCCATTCTTTGGGAGCCAGAGTAGATGGGGACAAATTTTGAAAGTTGCCTCCCTGGGACCACCCCTCTGGTTGCTCTGCTGTGTTTCTCCCAGCCAATGCAAAAAGAAATCACGGAGCAAATGGGAAACTGGAGAAATAATCAGCAACTCAATGAGGGGGTCTATGGAATCATGCAAAAGGACCAGCAGCCTGAGAGCTTCTTTGTAGACACAAAAGACTCTTATTTCGAGCATTTTCTTTCCATTTCAGGATCTGAGACCTCAATGTCTCAAAATACATGGGCACCCTATACCAACCCTACATGCCCTGAACTTTTAGGAGTGACTAGGGCTGCACACTCTCAGAACTCCTGGTTTATTGATCTTTCTCAGGCCCATCTTGGGTATTGCCCTGGAGTAAGGGAAATGCCGATTGTTGAGCACCATGGTCTGTGAAAGACTACCAACCAAGACCAGTGAGGATCGGGGTGAGGCCAGAAGCCCCCTTACTGGATCCTCCGCAAAGAGGGACACAACAATATTTGGGGAGAGGTTATCTCCCCACGTGGGCTGAATCCCAAGTTAGGCCCCAGGAAATGTCATTTCACAGTAGCTAAACAAGACGCGGTCAGACAGGCGGGAGCCTGGGTGCCTGCGGGGAACACACACACACACACACACACACACACGCCTCTGGCTGGCGCCTCTGGGGGAGGGGGACTCATGGCACCCCAATCTCCTTTCAAGCAGATGCCAGCTCCTAGGGGTGGAACTCAGGGCCTCTGAGCCACAGCCTGGAGAGGGGAGACAGAAATTGCAGAGCCTAAGAGGCAGGCGCTAATTCCCTAGGCTGTGTGCGCTTCACAATGAACTTCGGGGAAGAAAGGATCACCACCCTCCCTTAGATTGGCTCAAGCCCTGGAGTCCTTCTTTTTGGAACCTCCCTTTCTGACCGTGGATGGTGACATAGGTCCTCCCCAATGATTGGGAATTTCTAAAGGAGGCGTGTGGGGAGGGCATGCCTCAAGAAAACTGCTTGCAAGAGGCAATGCCAAAATCTCACACAGAGCTCAAGGCTAGTAAGTAGCTGAGAAGGGGTGGCCAGGGTTCTGTCAAATTAAAGTCGTTTACTTCAAATGCATTTCCCATTCCAAGAAGCCTTCCAATACAAATGTTCCTCAGGACAGCCTGCTTCTTTCCACAGCTATATTAATGCAGACAGACCTGGGCACGCCACGCCACGCCACGCGGTCCTGCCTGCACTTCCAAGTCACTACCTATGGTCCAGGGCATCCCGGTGTGTGCTGGGGTTCCCCTCAGGAACAACCCCCTGAATCACCACCTGTCTCCTTTTTTTTTTTTTTTCAGAGACCACACTCAGTTAAGTTGCTGGCACCCTGATCTGCTTTAAACAAAAGGCTTTTAATCATCCCAGGCAGTCTGAGAGCCCGCAATTCAGACCTGATTTTGGAGAGGGGGTGTTCCGAACTTCATACTGCTCTTTACATGCAAACCAACGAGAAAATTGACTTCCATAATTTAATTAACAAGCTGTAGCCATGCCCTAATTCAAAATACACATATTTGTCTTTTTAAAATCTCTTCAGCTACCACCAGGTTAAATCAAGGTATTTTTTGCAATAGCTTTATCTTTAAGGAGACAACCATTAGTTGATGGCTGGTTTCAGGAACTAGCTCTCTTTTCTCCATCTTTATACAACTTCCCACACCTCATTATTGCTTAGAACAAACAAACAGCAAACAAACACCTTAGCGGCCTCCTGATTCAACCGGCTGGGATTGCCTATTAGAATCCAGTATTGAAAAGATGGGGTACGCGCGGCCTCTCCGCCAAACGGGGCTTCTGGAACGTGAGCACGCCCCCGTGTGGTTCTCCAAGGTCATGCAAATGGGAAATAGTAACTAGCTTTGGCTTGCTAAGGTAGTGGACATTCTCTATCCAGACACTTAGAGAGAAAGGATAGATGGAGAGCAAAAGAAATAAACCAGTTTTAAGCTCCTGGAACCATCGTACTACTACGGCATTGACATTTTAACGAATGCCTAGAGTTTCAAACAAAGGAATCCCATCCTGAACGAAATTATTTAATTATTGTTTCTATTGCAGCTTTCACCAAAGGCTGGGGACATTTAAAAAAAAAAACAATACAAATGTATTTCTGTTGTTTCATATAATAAAAAGTGTAATAATTTATTTGACAGAACGGCAAAAATTTCAAATATAGTGAAGGTATAAATCTGAATAGAACTTCCTCTTTCAAATGCTTGCTTTTAGAACTGTGGTTCATTATAGCAGAGGGGACTGTTATCTAAAACACCCCCCCCCATAAAGCCCCCAGCATTTCCTAGCTGTATTAAAAGTGTGCTGGTAGACATTTTAACCTAACCAGTATTTTAAAAAGTCAATTGCTATTGAATTACACGAATGTTTGAAGGGAAATTAAAGTTATTGATCCTGAAATTAGGAATTTGCTTAGATTTATGGCGAGCCCCCAATATGATTCTGTGTGGTCATAAATGTGTGTGGGGATCTGGATGTGTGTGAGCATGTGTGTGGGAGAATGGGTGGCAGTTTGAATATCACAGAAGAACCTTAAGGCACCTAATTATTCAGAAAGGTTAAAGGTGATGACCTTGACATTTTGGAAGTTCAAAGGCATACACTTATGCACTTATGGTTTTCCTTCCCCAAAAAGACTTTGGCAATTATTTTTTTTTTATATTTGGAAATGCATGCCTCCTTGGAAGATGCATGGGGTGCTGTACATCTTATGAATTTGTTTTATTTTTTTTACTTTGGCCTTATGAGAGGTTAAGAGTCATAGGATTCACTTTACTCTTTTCAGAGAAGAGAAGCTTTTCTTACTCCTCCAGTTTATTGCACATTGCGGAAATCTCTTTTGGGCCCACCAGAAGGTGTATAATATAACCCAATTAAGCTGTTTAGAACTTTAGCTTTTATGGTGTTGTCTAGACAGTTCAAGGTTTTGTAAACAGCCTGGCCTGGCCCTGCAACATAAAGTGCAGTGCAGCCCCCACCAAATTCTTTAACTTGAAGCGATAAATTCAGGTGGGAAGTAGGTCTGCAGTCCTGGACCCTATCCCAGGGAGGGGGCTCGCCTTCTCTCCTGGTTTGCTGTGACACCAGCAAGGATCCCAAGCTTTCTCCACCTATTAATAACTTCTTTTTAGCAAACTATTTTTTTTCAATCAAGTGTTCTAATTTTGGTTCTTCTTTTAAGGGGCTCTGACTTCTTAATACCTTATTAAGAGTGGGTTTGGATTTTTGAAATCAATTTTTTGTCTTGTTAGAAATTCCAAATTAATTAGGCTGGAAGAGGGGAGGGAGGGATAGGGAAATTTGTTTCTTAGGTTCCTGCTAGCTCAGCTCATCTCCTTGGAAAAGCAACAGTAGCACCTGGCCACATCCTCAATTCAGAAATACATCCCTAAAATGATTTTTAAAATTCGGTGTAATCTAGAGGTGTGGGAGGGTAACTCTTAATTTAGTAAAATTAAAAAGCATTTCTCTTTATTTTCATTTGCTTGGGGTGGGGGAGAGAAGGTTATAGCCACTAAAATAGTGGCAAATTCATACAGTGTATTGAAACTGTAACCTCCATTTTACTAGAAACCATTTATTCACACATGAGACAATGACTTGTGCCTTGATATGACACGCCAAAGGTACATTTCCGAGAGTTTAAATAATCTGATTTACCAAGAAGGGAGGACCACCACGTCCTTAAACTCAGAACAAAAAACAAGAGCATTCCAGCCCAGAGGCCTAACTCTACAAATCTCACAGCGTCGCCACCCAGACTGGGAGAGAGGGAGAACAACAGCACATTGGCGGTAAAATTGTAAAGGGACATTTGCATTTACCATTTTTCCCCTTATTAGGATCCGTTCGGCCAAGTCCCCGGCCTCGTCCGCAGGCTGCAGTGGTCGCTGGGAGGTCCCGAGTTGACCGTGGGAAGGAATCGTGGAGTTCCACAGAGAAGAGGCGTCATTAAACCCAAGGACATAGATCCTGCCCAGGGCAGGCTGGTGGGGAGGAGGGTGGGTGAGTGGGAGTCAGGGGAGGGGTGCTTCCTGGAGCTCTCAAAATAAGGGATTTCCAGTGAAATACTGCAGACGGTCTCTGTTCAGTTTCTTTTCTTTCATTCTGCGATTCTGGAACCAGATTTTGACTTGCCGGTCAGTGAGGTTGAGCATCCGAGAGAGTTGGAGTCTTTTCTCTTTGTTTATGTACACGTTAAAGAAAAACTCGCGTTCCAGTTCGCGGATCTGGTACTTGGTGTAGGGACAGCGTTTTTTCCGGGACCGCTGGGGGGCCACTGCAAAGCAAAGACAGGAAGGGGTGAGAGAGGCCGCTGCTTGCTCACCCCTGCCAGCCCAGGGCCTCCACGCGAGGGCCAGGCCTCGGCCCGATGGGGACATCCCCTGCCGCTGTTGAAAGGCCCGGCCTGCCTCGTGGGGATGATATATGGGCGGGCACAGGAGAGAGTGCGGGCGTGGACGCGTGTTCACTCCCAGACACATGTACACGAGCGCAGACTGGCACAGAGGTGGGGAAGCAGAGAACCAGGCAAGCTCTGGGATGGAACCCGGTGGGGAAAGAAACATGAGCGCGCAGGGGCATCTGCTCAAACCCAGCCAGCAGCTCGGCAGCCAGCGGCTTGGATAAAGTCCAGTTCAAGGATCAACTCCCAACCCCTCTCCCTTAAAAGCTGGAGGCTGAGTGTCCACACTCAAAAACTTGAAATCTTCCCTCCCTCCGAGGTCTTTAGCACACACCCCCACCCACCTCCCAAACTGGGCAAAAGCTCTCTGCAGCGCTTAATGTCCTCCTCGAGGTCTACCTTAAGCCCACCTAAATTGGTTTCCTATCGTAAACACACTTTACAACGGCCCGGGAAATCTTATAGGATGTATAAACCCCTTCGAACGCTTATAAAGTAGCACATAAAACGGCGCTAGCAGAGGGAGGCCCCCACCGACCCCCCCTCCGCGCCCGAGGCCCACCGGGCCCAGCCGCCCACCCCGCGCCGGGTGCCTACCTGTGCCGCCGCTCTTCTCAGCCCCCGCCTCCCCCGGGGGCCCCTCGGCACCGCCTTCTGCTGTCCCCTTGGGCTCCGAGCCTGGGGTCGTCTTGGCACAAGGACTGCCCCCGCCGCCGCCGCCGCCGCCGCCGCCGGCCCCTGTCTTGGGGTCGCCCTTGTCTGCAGCACCCTCGGGCTGCGGCGGTGCGGGCGGCGGAGGGGGCTGCGGGCCGGCGAACGGGGGCCCGGGAGCAGCCTCATAGAACTGGTCGAAGCCCTGAGGCAGGATGCCGTTGCGGCCCACGGCGCTGTAGAAGTTGGAGGCAGCTCCTGCAGGACCGTGCGGCGGCCCCGGCGCCGCACACACGGGCTCGGGAGCCTTGAAGAGCACGTCCGGCCGGCGGCCCGCGGGCGGGAGCAGCTCCCGCTGCATGG